CTACATGCAGGCAATACATGCATACACATAAAATAAAAATAATAAATAAAAATTTTTAAAAAGGCTGACCCCTAACAATATGTACAAAAATATAAAATGTAAATAAAAAATGCAAACAAATTCTCCTTTTCAAAGTACTTTTAAGAAAAAAAGCAGGGCCTCGGAAGTTTTGTTTTTTTCCTCCCCTGTGGCAAATTTGAGTTGTGGTTTTGGTGGGGTGGTGGAGAGCGCATGTCATCTGCAGTGGCACTGCCCGCTATGGGCGGGCGGGCCTGCCTCTCTACTCGAAGGTGACCACGTTTAGATTCTGAGACGGGAAGTGGAGGGTGAATAGGTCACGGTGGCCTTTTAGGTTTAACTTTTCCTTTTTGCTGTCTAGTCATCCTCATCGGTCTTCTGCTTCTTGGTATCAACATCATCATCCTGCACAAGAAACAGCGTCACAGGCCTGCCAGGATGGGGACCCTGGACTGCCAAATCCCTCCTGCCCTATCTAAGTTCTAGCTCTGGACCCTTTCCACCTCCACTGTAATCCCACCTGAGACATCACACTGCTCAACTACAAAGCCAGAACCCACCTCCCCAAGCTGTAGTGCCTCAGGTCAGGTTCAGTCCAGCTAGGGGTGGGAAGGGGGAAGGAAGGGCACATTCTCATCCTAAACGAGTTCGCTAGAACTAGAACCGACCTCATCATCTTCAGCTGCCCGCTTGCACGGCACTGCCTCAGTCTCCTCATCTTCATCTCCGTCCTCTTCCTCACCTGGAGAGAACCAAGGGCCAAGTCAAATATATGTCCCTTCAACTCTAACTGCCACCATGGAATGTCCCTGACCCGTCTGCCAAAGCCCACAGGGCCGAAGCAGATCACCCAGTATCTTCTGAAGATGGGGAGAGGGAAATGACCATCGGAACCGGGTGAGGCACCTGCCTGAAACAAGGCCCTGCCCAATCTGCTCCCGCCACAGAACCCCATCACGCTCTTTTGGCAGAAAAGGCCAAGAAGGGAATCTGCAGGGAGACAGCCGGGAGACTGACTACTCACCATCACCTTCTTCCTCCTCCTCCTCTTCCTCCCCACCTTCTTCCTCTTCTTCATCTACCTCATTGTCAGCCTCCTGTTCCCCATTTTCCTCATTCTGTGACAGGAAACAGGAGCCATTAGACACCAGCAGGGTTGGAGACCCCCGCAAGGCTGGCTGCACCAGGTCGCTGCCACCTCCAGGTCCTGGGGACAGGACTCAACACCTTCCCCACCTGAACCAGGCCCTAAATAAGTAAAAGCTCTAGACAGAACTCACAGCATTCCCATTGGCAGGTGCGTCTCTTCCATTCTCTGCCTCCTCCACAACTTCCTTCTTCTCCTTCAAGTCCTTGGAGGGAAGAGGAAACCGGAGTTAGTCTTTGTAACAGCAGAACTGAGAGCTGGACTGATCGAAAAGCTGGGGATGGCATTCCGGGAACGCATCTCCTAGGTACCGAAATCCGAGAACTCGGCTAGTTGCAGACCCGCCGGGCCGCGGGACGGGCGCCGTGTGCGGGCGCCCGCCCATCGCGGACTTGTGTCCAACTAGAGGGCCCTGAGAAGGCGGCGGCCCTGAGTAACATAAATAAGTGGAGGGAGGGGCCTGGGCGCAGCGGGGAGGCCCTCAGCCGGGCGGAAGATACCCTGATCTCCGAAACCAATCCCTCTATTCTGCACAAGTACCGCTCGTCCCCGATCGGTGCCCACAAGCCAGCATCTTGAGGCCCTGCCGCCCTGAACCCGCAACGCACGGCCGAATTGAGCACCCAGGAGCCCTCGGAGGCGCTCGGCTGCCGTCCGCCGAAAAGCGTCAGGCACCTGTTCGCCGGTTCGCGCCCGCCCCAGGCCTGCCCAAGGCCTCGCGCCACCAGCTCCTGCCCCCTGGCGGCCGAAGCCCGGGGGAGTCAGTGGGGGCGGGGTGGAAACGGCGCGCAGGCGCACAACCGCTGCCCGAACTCTGCGCGCGAGCCTCGGCACGCACCGCGCGCACAGAGCACGTGGCCCGGGCCGCGGAGTGCGCCTGGTGCCCTGGAGACCCGCGGCAGCGGCAGCCGGTCGAGCACAGACTCCCCGCTGGCCCGCCAGCTCCAGGCCACCCTGCTGCCGCCATCCCCGCGGGTAGCAGCGCCTACTTCCGCCTCCGCTTTTGGCGCGCAAAGTCGCGCCATGGAAAACGAGATGCACGGGGCGGCCCAGCCGCGATCCTCCAACCGTCGGGGGCGCGCTCCCCGGGGCGCCTCGAGGGGATTGACCTCCGAACTCCCGCGGAAGGCATGGGGGAGGGGCCGGGCGCTAACCTCAGCCCGGCGGGCACCGCTCCAGAGCCGGCTCCCGAGGTCCGATCTGCGCGAGTGGCCTCGGGGAGGCTCGGAGGTGACGCCAGGGCCGCCCGAGCTGAGACGCCAAGGTGACTCGCCGAGCGGAGAAGGGGCGGCGACGCTCCGTGGGGCGGGCGGCGGGGCAGCTTTCGAGCTGCAGCTGCCGCTTCGGAACCCCGGCGCGGGGAGCGCGGGCCCAACCTGCCCCGCCACCTCATGGCCAGAACGCAGAGTCGCGATCGGGCCGCCCCCGCTTCCTCCCGCCGCCTGGCGACCACCCGATCGCACACCCTTCTCATGCCCGTCGCCGCGCCGCCCTGTGCGCGTCACCCGGAGTCGGTCCCGATACCCCGAGACCGGGGCGCGAAACGGAGGTCTAACAAAGAGCGTGGCCGGCGCTGCCGGCACACGCAATCCCCGTGCTTCCGACGCACTAGAGTTACAAAGTTACCTCCGTGCGCCCGGCAACCCCGGCCCGGCCGCCCCGCGCCGCTTGTAGCCCAGACATACAAGTTTGCAGGCTGCGCCGCGCGTCCCCACAGGCTCCCCTCGGGCTCTGCGTCCAGACGGCCGCCACGTCTGCCCGCACCTTCCTGCCCCCTCCCCCGCACACAAAGAACAACCTGCCCGGGGGCACCGCGGTGGTGGCCGCGCGATGCGGCCGCCGAGGTCCTCCCGGGAGGCCGTCACCGAGGCTCGGGCCCGCCCGACCGCAAGGCGCCCAGGATTGCCCCAGACGCGGCGCGCGGACCCCGAGGGGGCGGGCGGCGTCCAGCCTCACCTTGGTGGTGATCTCGGAGCTAGTGTCCACGGCTGCGTCTGACATGGTGGAGCACGCCGGAGATCCGATGCAGCAGGCGGAGGAGAGTGCTAAGGCTGGTGGACTCTGGCGCGGGAGCTGCCGGAGTCCGCGGCGGAGGAGGCGGCGGGCGGTGAGGGTAGCTGCAGCGAGCACGGAGCCAGACCCAGGAACAATGCAAAGATGGCTTTTCGGAGCAGCCAGTGGGGGACTCACGCGGCGCCAGAACCTTTAATATAGATTAGTGGGCGGCGCCCCACCACCCTGGCCCGCACGCGATTGGCTTAGCGCCGGGAGCGGGCGTTTGCTGATTGGCTCGATTCCGAACAATGGGCAAGCGAGCTTAAAGCGGCAGCGCCTCGGTGCGACCCGCGCTGCGCAGTCGCGGGCGACTCTGTCATTCAGCCTTGGAGTGGGCTGGGTCCCGGCCTGGCGGAGGGGAGACGGCGCACGCTCTCGCCCGCGCGCTCCCGCCGCTGTTTTGCTAGGGATTCTGACGCACGCAGCTAAAGCGCGGCAAAGCCACCCGCCCAGCCCCCGTCCACCCCTTCCCCTCCCCCGTGACTGCTCGGAAGGAGAGCGAGGACGGAGGCGGGGACACGACGGCTGCCAGCTAGGGGGGGAGGGGAAGGCTGGTGCTGGGCGGCGCTTGCCCCGGGCGGTGCCCGCGAAGGCGTCCGTCCCGCACCTTGGCACCTTCGACACAGAGTCGCCCCCATGAACATGGACGTGAGTCCACGACGGGGCCGCGAGTGGACGAGGACCCTGGCCTCCTTTCCGGCCCCCCCGTCCCACAACAGGGCGGCTGTCCGGGGCCAGCCAAACAGTGGGGCTTCGCGCCAAGCACACGCTCGCGGATCGACGCTGGGTCGCGTCGAGCGGGACAGTTCGCGGGCCTCGTGCCGGCTGCGGCGTCGGCGCCCTGGGGCTCGTCGGCGTCTTCCCGGTGCGGTCACTGCCGTCGGGACCGCCTCAACCTCTCCGTCCAGGGCCCCGCCCGGCCCTCGAGTTGACGCCCGTTCCTCACATTGGGGGGCCTCGGTGGGCATAGGCACGTGCACCCCTGGGAAGTAGTGGTCCCCTGGATCAGAAGGGCCAGTCCTTTGGGGTTCCTTCAAACTTGAGGTACCATTCCTGGAACCACGCGGAGCCACGAAAAGAGAACCATAAAGACGCCACACTCAAGATGGCGTCGGACCGGGCAAGCGTGGCGTGACGTGGCTCCCCGACTCGCGCCAACAGCCCCCCAACCGTGGGCTACACCTTGCTTATCGCTATCGCGTATGGCCGTCAAACGAACAAATCTGTTCTGTGAGGAAAGACGACAACAGAAACAGAGCGGGAGAAACGACCTGTGCCACACTCAAGATGGCGATAGTGTCCGACACCCCCCCTTGTTGCCAGAAGGGGGCGCCCGACACGGAAGGCGGGACTCCGTAAGACAAGAGCGCACACTGGCTGAGAGTGGCGGGCGAACACAAAGTTGACGCTTTGCGTCCTGCTATTGGCCACCGCTGCTGTCAGTCTCTTGCGGCCGTGGATTCGGGAGTGGAGAAAACCCGGAGTCGGGGAACGGGGAGAGCGGGTGGATGCCAAGTCCTGTAGAGCTTGAGGTCTAAGCGAGAAGAGATACTGAGTAGCCCTTCTCGGTTCCCTTCAGTGGTCGGCGACTTGACCCATGCTCCTGGGACGCCTCTTTACCGAGAAAGAGCGCGCAGAGTCGGGGCGCTGCCGTAGTTGGGCACGCGGGACCGACCCCCCACGACACACGCGTCTAGCCCGCATTCCCGCGCGCACGTGCCAGGCTCGTAAACTGGACTGTAGGGCGTCCCCGAGCGGCTTCTCCTTTCGGGGAGACGCCGGGCCACCACCCCCCCTTGTCCTTTGTCCCGCGGTCGCACCGCAGTAACGGAGAGGCGTAATGCGGGGTAATGGCTGAAGAAGGTAGTCCCCGCGCGCCCTAGAGCTTCACACGCTGTCCCACCCCAGCTGCTTTCCCGGTGGCGGGACCCGGGACCACCATTCACTAACAGGGAGGAAGAGCCTGAGAGCCGCAGTTTCGGTGGCAGAGGTGGCGGGGTAAACAAATACCTGGGAATTAGCCATCACACCCCCGTTACTCCCCAGGGCGTCGTTCCACACACAGCATGCTGTCAGGGCTTCTTCCCAGTCTGAAGGGTGGCCTGCCGCCTCTGTCCCCAGCTAAAGAGTGACCATGTAGGTTCTGATTCCGGCCCATGAGTGTGAAGCTGGGTGAGCACGACTCTCCCAAGAACTGCTTTCTCTGACCTTGTTCTGTGACGGAGGAAAGCGCAACCCTCTGCTTCAGAAGCACACCTAAACCCAGTGCTGGCCCAACACCTGCCTTCTGGCTCATGCTTCAAAGATCTCCATTTATTTTTATAAGGTATTGGATAGTGGGACCGACAGTTATGGTATTGAACCATATAAAGCTGACACTTTTTGTAAGTCATGATCAGTTGGAAGTATGATATCACTCTCAGTTTTAACAAATCAGAAAGACAGGCCCAGGTTTAAAGCAAGGGACTTAGAGTTACCAAGTGAATCACCATCAGCTATGGCCCTCCTAGTGTGGTTGAGAAGCCAGGAGCAGACAGCACCCCAGGATGTGGAGCATGACAGCTGGAGCTGCTGAAGTTACGGATGCTGTGCAGAGCCTCTTCATCTCTTGGGCTACTTCTGAGCCGGTGGTTTTTTCCACCTCCTACCCTTCCACTCATCCATAGATCTTGGGCCCTTTGCTGCTCCAGAGGCAGGAAGCAAGGCATTTCCATGGTGTTGTCCTTCACATCTTAAAACAAACTGGTGCCAGGCGTGGTGGCACTCGCCTTTAATCCTAGCACTTGTAACTCTGTGAGTTCAAGGCCAGCCTGGTCTACATAGTGAGTTCCAGATCAGCTGGGGCTACAGGGAGACCCTGTCTCAAAACGACCCCCCCCCCAAAAATTGGGGGGGCCACTGAGATAGTGGGTAAAGATGCTTGCTGCCAAGTCTGATGACCTAAATTCTATCCCCAGGGCCCACATGGTGGAAGGAGAGAGCCAACTTCCCATGAGTTGTCCTCTGACTTCCACAATGCGCCCCTACATGTGTAAGTAGATAAATGTAATAAAAATTTTAAGTATATACCTGGATTAAAACTGCCTGGGTTCAATTCCAGCCTTGCCATTTGCTAGTTGTGTAAAATCAGGTGAGCTACTTCCTCATCTCTTAAAAACATTGAGCTGCATGGTAGTTCTGTGGGAGCCGAGTGGCTAGATACTTAGAAAGCTGAAAATGGTGTCCAGCACATTGGGGAAACATCCTCTGGGGATTCCGTCTTCCAGCTGCCGTCTATACTTAAGTGTGTTGGTTTTAGGATATTTGCAGGACTCTGGCAAAGAAACAATGTCTTCAGCAGATTTTTCCCATGTTGGGTGGTAAATGAGGGCAATGGCCTCACTGAGTTTCTGAAGCCTGTGATTCGGTGCTGGGCATGGTTGGCAGTTCCTTTGGCTTCAGAGGAATGATGGAGTCTGGGAGGTAGCCGCAGTGGAGCAGACATCAAAATCTGCCTTCCCACCTTTCAGAACCCCAGAAGTTTCAGGCTGTGGTTTCCTTGCTCAGGCGTCAGGCCCTGGGGAACTGCCAGCTGCTTTCAACCCTCCCGCCTTGCTAGCAGCAGGATTGTGTAAGAGCAACTCCTGCCCTGCCCCGCCCCCCATGGCTGCTCCCTCTAGCACGCCCGGGCCTGCCTGTCCTGTCCTCATTGTCCTCCCTGGGGAGCTGGGCCAGAGGCCCGACTTCTGATACTCACACAGGTCTGGCCATCCCTGGAGGCTCCTGCCCAGCAGCAGAGAGAGGGTGGGGAATGTCTCTTGACATTTGAGGCCTGCCCTCAAACCAGTGCCAAGGCCTGCTGAGCCTGGGTTCGGGTACCAGCCAAGGTGAGGTAAGGAAGCTGGGGGAGATGGGTGTGCAGAGTCAATAGCCACCACCCCTGGGCACAGGAGTGCCATCGTGCCAGACTTCCTATGCATGTGGCCCCTGCTGCTGCGGCTCAAGGAACCTTTTCCTGGTCACCTTCCCTGTATCCCAGTGCCTGTGTGCACCTATTTGCATAGCTGAGCTTGTGGGTGGGTTTTTTTTTTTTTTTCCTCTTAAGCTCTGGTTATGTTGATGAGTGGGTGGGCCCAGACTCTTGGTGGCCCAGGAAGATGCTGGCTGTGGGAATTTATGAGTTGGCACACACCTGGGCAGCTGCCTTCAAAGGCTGAAGGTGCTCCATCTGAGGAGAAGGTAGTTTCCTCTGTGACACCTTCACCCCTCCACACTTCCTTCCTGCTACACAGCCCCAACAGAACCAGGAGCCCCAAGGTGAGGGTTTAGTGAGGTCACACTAAAGAATTAAGGCCATGGGGCAAGAAGTTCCCACATCTTGCCCTGGCACAGCAAGGCCCTCTGATTGGGTCCCAGCATGGAGATACCTCTTAGGCTTCTCTCTAGAACAGTCTCTGCTTCGAATGATGTTCTGCAATTTTCATAAGGTAAAACCGAGACACTCATGTAAACCTCTTTGTAGGAAAATCTCAAAACAGGACACAGCCTTTCTGAACTTAAGCCTAGCTCAGGAAGGCCAGGCCAGGTGGGTACCTTTTCACAGAAGTATATACACCAGGCATGTGTGAAATCGAAGAAAACTGTCCTTCCTTACTGTGTGTGGTGGCCGCAGGCCTTTAGTCCCAGCACTTGGGAGGCAGAGACAGGCAGATCTTTGTGAATTCAAGGCCAGCCTGGTCTACATAGTGAGTTCCAGGCCTGCCACAACTGAATCAAACTGCCCTGGAATCCCTCAGCTGCTTTAAACGCTCTTAGACCCTGCAAGCTATGGCAGCTAGGCCCTGAAATGTGACCAATTTACTGGTCCCTTGCAGCATCTTTCACCTGGTTGTGGCACATTTTTGCTGTTACGGTGATGTGAGAGGTTACCTTAAGAGCACTGACAGATGCCTCCCATGCACGCACCTGATGGCAAATTCTCAGTCCCCACTTTGCTAAACAGGGAAGAATGTAGCCCAGCTCCTAGAGAGAAACCAGCATGGTGTCTGTCCCCACTCTGAACTGACTGCTGCTCACAGGGCCACAAGGTCCTGAGGTACAAGATGTGTTTTTGAGACCCCAAAGTGTTAGTCACCTTATAGCAAGTCAACT